CGTGTAAAACCCTGACCGCAGAAATGCCTGTGTCGCGTACGATCACAAGTTGTTGCTCCATCTGCGCGAGAGAGTTGCGCAGGTTCTCGACCATCGCCGTTCGTTCACCTGAGTGTGACACCTCACGATCAACCTGGTACTGCAGTTCTCCTATGATGCGTCTATCTTCGGCGATCCTGGAATCGATGATCCCTAAGGCGCCGTCAAGATCGCGACGTATGGCTGCAGTATCAGTGGCGTTCGTCTGAACGCTCTGTAGTAGTCCAGAGTATTGGCTGGACACGAAGGTTTCAACCTGGTCTCTGAGCTCAGCTATGTCACCTGCGGCGGACGTCTCCGCCGGCTGGTCGTCTGAGATGGAGAGGTGGGGAGCGTCAGCTTCCCTGTGTCCCCTGTCGCGGGGAGTGCATGGCCTCTGAGAGGCAGCACGCGGGCTCGACCTGCGCTCGCCGCATGGGCCTGGGGCTCCACGGCGGTTGCGCGCGGACGAGCTGCGACTCGGACCATGTGTGTGTGATGTCTCATCCGATGATACCTTGGGGTACCGCGTCTGTGGCTGTGCCGACACTGGTCTACTGAGTTCCTCGAAGGTAGCTACGTGCTCCGCCACAGGGACGGTCGCAGGGCTGGGGGTTCCAGCACCTGAGGTCCATCGGCGGTTAGCGCGGAAGCGCCCTGGAGTATCGAGACCGGTAAGGCTTTCGCCTGACGCGGTTGGGATTGCTCCCGACGGGGAAGGGGAGGGAGGATCAAAGGTCGGCGTGTGAAACTCCTTCCTTCCTGTTCCTACTCCTTCTCCTGTCCCCCCGCGGGCGGCGCTGCGGCGAAGTTCAGCAGCTAGACGCGCCTCGGGTCCTCGGGAGCTGGGGGGGGGGTATCGGGGACACCAACACAGTCCGCACTAATGCTCTCCAACTCGTCACCGAGCCGTCGCACCGTGGGAGAGCTTGGACGCGAAGCCCCAATGGAACCCTTACGGCGCATGCGCCGAAGCGGCTCCATTGGGCTCGCATGCAAGGTCACCGCGGGCGAGTCGGTGAAGGTGAGCGTTAAAGGGCTGATAACCTGTGTATGGGGTTGAAGTACAAGAGTACAGAACCCCTGATCCGTTGGTAGAGAGATGGAGGGATAGATGGATATCTTTCCCTCCCAAGCGATCAAGGTACGATCGCTCCAACTCAGTACCTGAGCCCAAACGGCCAGGTGCGGGAGAGGTAAGGATAAGGAGTATATATGAGGGTATTACACGGGTTCCATACACAGAGGGCGGGTATCCAGGGTTTGGGATATGCATAGTGACTGACGCGCGAGCAGATAAGAGCGAGCACTCTTAACATGATTGTTTGTTGTTGTTGCAACCCGGGGGAACAACACACTTTGAGCCCCAGGACTTCCCCTGATCAGAAAAAAGAGGTGCGAGCGCCGGGAGGGGAATTTCAATTGAAAAATACAATGTGCGCCAAAAAGCGGGGATCAACCATAACTCTTCTTCTGTAGCGAGGGTTCATCATCATCAACAACAACAGCAACAGCAACAACACCAACAACAATCAATGTAAGACTGCTCGCTCTTACCTGCCAGTGTGTCATTCCAAACGTGTTCCCCACACCCTCGATACCCGCCCTTTTTGTGTTCGATCACGCCCCCGTTGGGGAGATTACTTCTCCTTGCGGGGGGCGGCGGGCTTAGACAGGCGTGCAAAACTGCACGGGCGGACAATCCTTCGTGGGCGTACATGCGCCCGCCATTGGAATTGGTGCGGGCCCTGCAAAAAGAGAAGGGGGAGAAAGAGGGAGAGTGGGAGGAAGGGAGGGGGAGGGACGAAGGAAGAGGGAAAACGCCAGGAGAGAAGGAGCGAAGATGGGGGCGGTTGATTCGAGGCAGAGATAGAAAGAAAAAAAGACAGGTAAGAGAGGTAGAGAAAGAGAAAGAGAAAGAGAGAGAGAGAGAGAGAGAGAGAGAGAGAGAGAGAGAGAGAGAGAGAGAGAAAGACAGATAAGAAAGGTAGAGAAACAGAGAGAGAGAGAGGTAGGGAGAAAGACAGATGCGAGCGTGTCCACGAATGCGTCACCGCTCTGGCCGAAGCGATGCCGGGGGCCGCCGTCCTGGCTTTTGATGCTACTAATGCCTTCAACGCCCTGCCCCAGAAAACGGTGCTTGACGCAGTGGGCCGCCGGGCGCCGAGCCTCCTGCTGATCGCCAACGCTTGGCTGACGAGGCCTACGACGCACGTCTTCTGGGACGACCTCGGCACCCCGATGCCCGCGTCGGCCGAGACAGGCGTCGACCAGGGCTGCCCGCTCAGCCCCGCGTTCTTCGCCATTGGGATCGCCGACGCCCTCGCCCGCGCCCACGAGCGCCTGCAACTGCTGAGCCCCGCCTCCCGCCTTTTTTCCTACCTCGACGACGTGCTCGTGGTCGTGCCAGCGGAGGCCGCCGCCCAGGCACACGACGTCGTGCGGGAAGAGATGGCCCGGGCCGGCCTGGAGCTCAACGCGGACAAGACCAAGGTATGGACCGCCAGCCCGGCCACTGCGATCCCTCCCCAGCTCGCGCCGCTCCGGGCCGCCACCTTGACCGTCCTGGGGAACCCGGTCACGTGGTACGACCGCGACGAGGACGACGACGACGCCAGGTTGCCCCTCCTGGCCAGTTCTGATGGTCGAGAGGTCCTGGACAAAATGCGGCACTTCTTGGCCCACTGGAGAACGCTGCGCCAGAACGGGCTCTCGGCGGAAGGGGCACACACGCTGCTCCGCACCTACGCCCAGGGCTGCTGCACCCACCTGCTGCGCGCGAACTACGAGACCGCCTGGGTGGGGGAGCTCGACGACTTGCTCTTCGGGGCCTACGCTGAAATAACTGGGCCCTTGAGCAATGAGCAGAAAGAGTGGCTCACCCTCCGCCTCAAAGACGGCGGCAACGGCTTCCCCTCGGCCCGGGAGACCGCCGCCCGCGCCTACCTCGGAACTTGGGCCTTCTGCTTTCGGGGCGTGGCAGGCTGCCTCGGAGCCACCTCGGCGGAGGCCGTCCGGGCACGCTGCCCTCAGACAGCAGACGCTTGGCGCCGCGCCGAAGCAGAGCTCGACCGGCAGGAGGCGAAGGCCGAACCCTTGGACTGGGCAGCTCTCTTGGCCGAACCCAAGGCCAAGCAACAAGGGTACTGAGGGAAGAAAACCTCCTTTCTCTCCTCACTCCCTCCCGCCCGCGCTTGCGCCCGCTCTGAGCTCCAGGAGCGTCGCGACGACACCTCCCGAGCGGGGTGCGGGCAAGCCCGGACCCCGCTCGGCTAGTCGTCCAGCTCCTCCAGCTCAGTCAGCGAGCGGCGCCCCGGCGCAGCCCGGCGCCGCAGCAGCCCGCCGCCAAGACAGCGCGGCTACTCCGGACGCTGGACGAGGACGGCCAACTCGCTCTGCGCGGCGGCGGGGGCCCAGGAGCGGGGGCCTGGCTCCTGCCGCGCGAGGAGGGCGACGCGCCCCTCCCAGACAACCACTTCCTGGGCAACCTGCGCATGCGTCTGAGCTGCGACGTGTGCGCCCCGGGCTCTCGCTGCCAGCGCCGCAAACAAGACGGCTCGCTTTGCGGGGTGCTGCTGGACGCCAAAGGCTGGCACGCCCGGAAGTGCGGGTGTGGGGACAGCAGGGACTACAGACACAACTCCCTACGAGACTGGAGCGGGCCCTGGCACTACGCTCAGACGGGCCACAGGGCCACGACAGAGCAGCGAGTCCCTGCTTGGGACCGCCAGCACCCCGACACCGGGGCCTGGGAGGAGGCTATCCTCGACGTGGCCACGCGCGACCCCGCTACCAACGCCCCGATCTTTGTGGACTGGTCTGTCACCTGCGAACACAGCGACAACAACGCTCGCAGGCAGGCCAGAGCTCGCACGGACGGGGTGGCGGCGGCTCAGGCAGTCGACAAAAAGCGGGCGCGCTACCCCCCGGCCGGAGGGGAACTCATCCCGGCCGTCTTGGAGACCGGGGGCCGGCCAGCGGACGAGCTGGTCGCCTTCGTGCGCTCCTACGGTCGGGACTTGCCTGATGCCGACAGGTCCGCTGTAATCTCTACCAAGTGGAGGAAGATTCAGCGGTGCCTCGCGTTCGGCAACGCTGAAATGCTGCTGAGCGCGATTTAAGCAACCCACCGCCACGACCACAAGCTCCGACGCGACCACCGCCACTTCCACGACGACTACTAGCACGCCCGCCCATGCCCACTACGACAACCACGGCCACCACCACGACCGCCGCCCCACGACCACTACTGCAATCCCGCCCACCACCACTACGCTCGCCGACCGCCACGACCTCTGCGACCACCGCGAGCGACCACGACGACAACGACCGCTGCCACCTCGACCACCACGACCTCCATGACCACCACGATCACAACTACGACCACCGCCCCCACGCCCACGACGGCTACCACGACCACCACCTCGACCACCGCTTGCCGTCCGCCCCCCGTCCCGTGCCCCTTCCTCCCCCCCCTCCGGGGGGTCGCTCCTCCCGCTTCCCCCTCCCCTTGCTCTTCCGAGTGCTGTATTAATTGATAATTAATTCTCTGGCATTCCTGTCCCGCGCGGGCCGCCGGTGTGGTTGGGCACCAGGGAGCCGCCGCCAGCTGCCCTGCCCGGGCCTGGTTGCCCCCTGAGTGCCGGGGACCGCCCTTCCCCCCCCCCCCGAGAGAGAGAGGGGGGAGAGAGAGAGAGAGATGATGAGATAGTATGTCGATGGACAAGATATCTCTTTTCCATCTTGAGCCAAAATGGGTGCACGGAGGAGGGTGTCAGAATCACTCCTCCTCGAGCCTGGCCGCCAACCCGGCCAGGCACGACCTACGTCGTACGCGGGCGCGCCCAAGCCGACGCGCCCATCTCATCAGCTAGGCTGCGGCCATGCCGCGAGCCCCTCACTCCGTCCGGCGCGATCATACCGCAGCCGGCGGAACCTCATCCAGCCCCACAGGTAGCGGAGCATGGATTCGATCCACTCCATCACTTGAAGTCCTTCTGAGTCGAACTCGGTGTCCGATCCCAGATGTTGAGCGTCGCCATGTGTCTCCTCAAAAGGGATCCACCCACGCTCTTGGTCAGCACGTCCGCGACGTTGTTCTTACCAGGAACCGCGGCGATCGAGAGATCGCCCTTACCCACACGCTCCTGGATCCACAAGTATCGAAATTGAACATGCCGCATCTTCCCGAGACCTCGCCGTTGGACGTGGCCCCGGGCCGCCGATGAATCTGAGGCGAGCTCCACCTTCAGGTCCAGCCCCCAGTCCGCGAAGAGGCTGTGAAGGCCCAGGCCCACGCTCCCGCCCTTCACCAGGGCGTAGTACTCGCTCTCCCCGCTGCTCAAAGAGACCGTCGACTGCAGATTACTGCCATGCTTGATGACATGATGCCCCAGCATCGCCACGAAGCCTCCGGTGCTCTTCCGGGTGACCGCGCAGCCCGCATGATCGGAGTCCACGTACACCCGGATCTTGTCGAACATCTTCTGCTCCGTGAAAACCGTCACCGTGCTAGGATGCCGCTTGAGGTAGCGGCCAACCCTCTTGAGCATGAGCCAACTCGCCTCCGTCGGCGTCTGCATGGACCTAGCGAGCGTCTTTGATGCCTCTGCCAAGTCCAGCCTGTCCTGAGACAGATAGGCCACCCTCATGGTGAGGGATCGGAAGCGCGAAGCTTCCGCTGCTCCCAACGCCGCCGACTTCGCATCCATCATCTGCTTGTCGGCGCTACGCTTCTCCGTCGGCGTGTCCACGCCGTTGGCCTTGCTGAGACCCAACTCGTCGATCACGATCTCCGCGTGCCGCTTGTCCGGCTCGATCATCGCATGCCGGCAGGGCCGGCCACCGCCAGGCGGAACTCCCGCACTGACCTCGATGACCCGATTCAGGAAGACCGCCTGCTTGTCATCGCCCTCGTCGAAGCCGAGGTTCGCAGTCTTCTTGAACTCGTACTTCTTTCCCAGCGTGGCCTCGAAGCTGTCGATGTCCTGCTGCTGAGCCAGCACCGCGAAGTCGTCGCCGTGCCCCAGCAGTCTCGTCTCGTCCACCTTCTTGTAGAAGACCGCTGGGCACGACATGCCCGCCTTGTATCCGTTTTCCTCCAACAGCTCCGTGTAGTCGCCCTGCCAGATCTTGCTGGCGTCCTGCGTGCCGTACCAGGACTTGAGGAGTAAGCCACACTTGTCCTCGCCGTACTCCTTGCGACTCTCCTCCTCCAGTTCCACGAAGATCCGCCGCTGCGCCTTCCCATAGAAGTGCGCCCTGCTGATGTCGAAGAAGCCGATCTTGAAGTTGCCCGGCTTCCTGCCCTTCTTGCGAAGCGACTCCTGAATGTGGAGCGGTGCTTCCCGCGTCCACGTGACCATCAGCGAGACCAGCGACCGCATGGCCTCCAGAGGAGGCATGGCCGAGAAGACCTCGGACGCCTCCAGCTGCTCGTCAGGGCGCTTCTTCGCCTTGATCTCCTTCACTACGAGCCTGCTCCTGTAGTTGGGCCTCTCCGCGTCACCCTTGTTCGTGTCGACCCACTTGAGTGGGATGGGCGGACGCCCAGTCTCGGCGAAAGCTTGAGACCTCGGGACGATCTCGATCAGCTCCTGCTTCTTGACCCACTCGCGCTCGACCGCGCGAGCCTGGGCCACAAGGCCCGCCTCCAGGTAGCCGCCATTGACGTCGTCCCAGTAACTCGTCCAGTCCCCGGGCGGCACTGCCGCGTCCACAGGGACTGGGCCCGACTGCTGCACCTGGGCGGTGCTGAGCTCCCCCACGTCATTCAGCGTGTCCTTGAGCTCCTCCAGCACCGCCTCCACCAACTTCGGTGGATAGACCTTCGCGAACCGCGCGATGCCGCCCACGAGTGTGATGTGGCGATGCCACTCCGCGCGTCCGTCCACATTGCTGCAAGTGCCCTGCAGCCTCCGGGCTAAGCCTGGATGGTTGGTGACCCATCCGGTCTCCTTGCGCACGAACTCCTCCTGGCCACTGCGTGGGTTCGCGAGCTTCATGCCCCACCGACACATGGGGCCTTTGACCGCGAAGACTCCTGGATGCGCGACCAGCTCCTTGACGATGTCCTCATTCCACGATCGCGCGCTCCAGGGATGCTCATGCAGGAAGTACCTGCCTGGCTTCCTGAGCTGACGCCAGTAGGCGTCGACCGCCACCTTCAGGTGGTGTCTGGCCTCCTCCATCTCAGCCGCCTCCTGCTCATCGGTCCTGAACCTGGCGCTCAGGCCCCTCAGCAAGCTGAACCTCTCGCATGGAGGGGACCCCGTGAGCAGGATGGGATCCATCCGCTCCTGCTGCTTCTCGAGCTCCTTGACATCCTCGGGGCGCCGCAAGTCCCACGGCGTCCCGTCCTCCTTGAGTTCCTCTAGGTCCGCCGCGAAGCCCGGGCGCAGCTGAAATTCCGCTGCCCGAGCCGAGAACCGATGTGGCGAGTACACCTCGGCCACGTCCACGGCGCCCAGCTGCAACGCCGATAGGGCGATGCTGTCCACCTCTTCGTCGGCGATGTCCACGCCGACGCTGGCCCAATGGCCGCTGACCTGTTCGCGAACGAGCGGGAGCAACTCCGCCTTCGCTCTCGTCAGCACTCCGAGCTCAACCAGCTCGATCGATGCCACATCGAGGGCGAGCACCCGCATGTGCCCCCCCTCACTGGCGTTCCACACGACTGCCACTCCAGCTGGCAGCTGAGGTCCTTCCGCTGGCGCCGGCTGCGCCGCGAGATCCTCCATGTCCACCGGTACCGGCACGTCTGCCGGCTGTGGATCACCGCGCTCGAGGGCCTCCGGCACGTCATCCGGTGCCACCTCCGCCAAGCGCTTCAGCCGCGACCTGGTCGCGGTCATGTCGACATCCTCGGCGGCCTCTGCCGCTCGCACTGCTCCCGAACTGGAGCTCGCTCTTCCTGAAGGAGCCGCCACGCCGGAGCCCGATGCTACCGGCTGGCTCTCTCGCATGCGCGCCGCTGCAGCTGCCGCGGCTGGCGCTGCTGCCGATCGGGTCGCGGCCGGCGCGGCCGATGCCGCCGCCGCCGCTGCCACCGGCTCGGTGATCCTCCGAGCCGTCTTCGGCGGAGGGGTCCCTGCCGCGGCCGCTGCCGCTGGTCGGACTCTGGCCTCTTGGCCCTGCCTCCGCTCTCGATACTGGCCGGTCCTCTCCCGGCCTGCCTCCTCAGCGTCCAGCGCTTCGAAGATTCTCTTGCTGCACACCGCGTTGTGCGCATGGCCAGCCAGCACCTTGCCGTGCTTGGCGATCGAGACGCACCCTGGGCATCCCGGCGTTGCGCCCAGCCGCTCGATGTCCGCCTTGAGGACGTACATCCTCCTCGGCGCCTGCGGCTGCGGCGGCGCCACCACAATTGGTGGCGGACCGACCTCTCCAGGTCCGACGATGGCCCGCGGCGCGCTTGCCGCACGCGGAGCCACGTCCCACGGCAGGCCCTTCAGGCCATCCCAGCCCGCCGTGATCCACTTCTCGCTCTGCGGCAGGCTGCGAAAGCCGACCGCCTTCTTCGCACCGTCGCTCGTGATGACCATCATCGAGCCGTCGCGCGGGTGGTGGCCGATGTAGCGAGCCTCCACCATCTGCTCCTCCAGCGCGTTCTTCCTCGCGCGCTCCCCGGCGAACCGCACCATCAGGCGTTCACCGAAGAGCGGGACCGGCTTCCTCCACTGCCGTCCCGTGAGCCGCTGAAGAGCGGTCTTGCCATCCTGGCCGCGCCGGTATCGGTTGATCACCGATGCGGCGTGCTCCGGCAGGTGCGCTAGCACCGGGTGCTTGTCCTCCACCTTGACGCCCAGCTTGGACTCCAGGTCCATCTTGAGCGCCCGCACCTGCTTCTTAATCTCGCGCACCGTGACCTCGATCTCCCCATTGGCCTGATGATCTGCCGGTGCCGATTCCTGGGGAATGGCCTCGAGGCCAGGAACCTCCTCCACCGCACGCCTCTTGACCAGCAGGATCGCTGGCTCGCCGTCAGACTTGTTGACGATCTTCCTGTAGCCCAGGATCCGTAAGAAGCGTGCGAAGAATTTGATGGCGTAGGCGTCGTCGCCCTTCTTCTCCACGAATGTCGCTGCCATCATCTTCGAGCGCCGATCCCTAAGGACCAGCATCGGCATGGTGTCCGCGTCTTCCTGGCCCATGAAGGCGTAGTCGGACGAGACCACCGGCACCGCCGTCTCGTCGTCCTCCGGTGCGCGGAGATGCGGCTGGCCTTGGCCCTTTGCCGCAATACACACGCGACACCAGCTGCGATAAGTCGCGTGTCCCATCGCCTCGTGTTCAGCGATCTCTCTCTGAGAGGGCTCATGAGGTGCCTTCAGCACCCTCGGGCGAGCCTCCTCCTCGCCCTCGTCGGCCTGCTGTCCATCAGGAGCAGCTGGCAAAGCGTCGGCCGCGGCCGCTGCCGCTGGCTGAAAACCCGGCGGTCTCACGTCAGAAGGTCCCGACCCCGCCGCTGCCGCCCCCGCAGCCAATGCCGCAGGGGGCCGTGGTATTGAGTCTTCCAGTGGACTTACGCCGAGGGCTGCCTCCTGGGGACTGTCTTCTCGAGGATCTCCAGCAGCTCCTCCTTCGACTTGCCGCTGAGGAGCTCCACCAGCTCGGACTTCGACTTCGCCGAAAGTCCCTCCTCGAGAGGAGCAACCGAGCCATGTTGGCCCTTCTTGAGGTAGAAGTTGTAGACGCCCTGCTCGCGATAGACCGGCAGCATCTGGTGCTTCGCCGCCTTCGCCTCCTTCTCGAGCATGCCTACCACGCGCTTGCCGATTGGGCTCTTCTCGTGGAATATCCAGCCGCCATTGCGGCCCAGGAATGAACACTGTCCAGCTCCTGCTGCCTGCCCCACCGAGATCAACGGCTTGTGCACGTTCGTCACGCGTCCCTTGAGCGCTCGTAGCACTCCGTACTCGTCCTCCGCCTTGAGCTGCAAGCTGCCCTCGTCCGGGACGAGCTCACCACTGGCCGTACGATACGTGCTGCCGTTGCCCTTCATCCCCGTCGGCGGCGCGAAGCTCCGAGGGAATGCTGAGATAGCTGCACCGCTGTCCCAGTTGAACTTCATCCAGTCGTCCTGCGCGAAGGGGGAGAGGTCGACCGCCGCTACGCCGCGGCCGCTGCCGCTGGCGAGCTCCAGGCAGTCCAAGCTGCCCATGTCCAGAGCGGCGACCTCCGCTTCAGGCTCCTCCTCCAGGCTGCCTGCCGCCTTGCCGCCGGCCTTGCCGCCGCGGCTACCGACTTTACCACCAGCGCTTGCCCCCGTTGCGGATCCAGTTCCAGCCCTCGTACTCGATCCCTGCTCTTTCCTCCAGCAGTCGGATGCCTTGTGGCCCCATCTCTCGCAGTTCCGACAGTAGCCGTCGAAGCGCCCGCTGGTGCTTCGAGGTGCCGTGTGCCCTGAACCACGGCCCGAACCCGTCGGGGATGTGCGGGAGCCTGAGTATGATCCGTTCGTCGATTTGCTCTTCCCCTTCGGCTCCTGAGTCTTGCCTTTCCCTTTGCTCTTGCCGTCCTTGCCCTTGCCTTTGCCTTTGCCTTTCGGGGCTCCGAACGATCCGACGTCCATGTCGTCCGGATGATGCGCCCGCGCACGGATCGATGGCTCCTTGATCTTCACGCCGGTCCGAGCCTCTACGATCGTCATTACCTCGTTCAGACTGTCCTGGAACGTTACGAGCCGATGCTTGTTGAGTACGAGGTGGTTCTCGATGTCCTGAGGCACGAGCATCTCGAGGGCCGCCATCTTGATATCCTCCGGCAGCTCGGCCAGACCATCTTCTCCTTGGCGGCGTTCGTACCTGCCTATCTGCTGGATCCACTTCTCTAAGGCGGACCCCAGCTCGTCCGCGCTGCACTTCGGAGGCGAGATGATCGACCTCAGGATCAGCCTCTTCCTCGGGCCTGTCGTCGGATCCCACCTGCGGTGGAGCTTCCGCCAGGCTTCGAGACCGTTCCCGTCGGGGGCGCCCGTCACGAGGTCGTTGCTCTCGCTGCCGTCCGCCGTCGTGCTGATCAGCGCCGCGTACAGCTGGTTGACCTTGGTCTCCAGCTCTGGAACTCCGTCGTGCACCGCCCGAGCTCCCTCTATCGTCACGGGGCGTTCGGCTTCGGCTGCCCACCGAAGAACAGGGCGAAAACTCTCTCCGTACACGCCGATCACGTAGTTCTCCATCTTGCGATTCCAAGCGCCGAACTTCTCTTGGTCGTCGCCCAGCGTCGTGGGCTTGCCGATCCCCTTGGTGTCTACGAGACCTTGAACGGCTCCACCCGCGCTCGTCGCGCCTCTGATCTGCTCGCCCATCCGCTCGATCGCCTGCGGGATTGCCGCGAGGCCTCCTGCCACCTGCTGCTGAAGACGCTGATTCTCGTTCTCCAGCCTCCTCATCTCGTCGGCTGCCTGACCTATTTGAGCCGCGAACTCCTGCCTCAGCAGTTCGAACTGCTGCCGAATCTGCTCGTCCATGTTTGACAGCGTGTCTCTTGGCGAGCTCCTCCCGGCTCTCTGCTATCTCTTGCCTCGTGCGTTCGAGGTCCGTAATCCGGCCTAGGACTTCCTTCTGCGTTCTCTCAACAGCGTCCGATGAGTTCTCCGACGGATGGTCCTCGATGTACGCGAGGTGGTGAAGCTTGTTGCCCGTCTCCCTCAAGTCGTGCTTGAACTGGAGCTGCTTGCGCCTGGTCTCGATCGCCTCGTCGCTCCTCTTGCCGCGCCTGCGGCCACTCTTCCCGGCCCCTGCCGGTTGACTCCTCCCGGCCCCTGCCGGTTGCTCGGCCGCTGCCGAGCTCGGTGCGGCCGATGCCGCCCTCTTCCAGCCTCGAGCCTCTTGCCAGCTCGCCGTGGCGCCCGCGGGCGCGCCGAGGCCCTGGTGGGTCGGCAGCAGTGAGTGGCCAGCTCACGCTACCATGATGAGATAGTATGTCGATGGACAAGATATCTCTTTTCCATCTTGAGCCAAAATGGGTGCACGGAGGAGGGTGTCAGAATCAAGAGAGAGAAAACAAAAAAAAAAAAAAAAAAAAAAAAAAAAAAGCGTGGAGTTCCCCATATGTGCATCTACTCGCATGGACCTGTCCGCCGTGAATGTCTAGGCGCAAGAGCTTTCGAATATTAACGGGCTTCAGTTGTGACGGTCTGGACATCAATCTAACTGCGAATGAATTGGAGTGTGAATGAGCCTCAGTAGTACGAGCGCGTCTCTGTGCATGAGCCTGGGGCCTCCTGGGGCCTCCTGAAACCTACTGGGGCTTCCTGGGGTCTCCAGGAGCCTCTTGGGACCTCCTGGGACCTCCTAGGAAGGTTTCGTGCCCCAGGAGAGGCGCAATCTATAGCAACAGACGTACATAAAACATTGCGGATTAGAGCCACAGGAGAAGGGCAATCTATAGGAACACGCGTAAAACACCAAGGACTCGTGCCCCAGGAGAGGCCCAATACATAGGAACATGAGTAAAACATTTAGGATTGTGTACACAGGAGAAGGACCATCTATAGAAACATACGTAGAACATCAAAGAATCGTGCTCCAGGTGAGGCCCAATCGATAGGAGCATACGTAAAACACATGGGATTGGAGCCACTCCTGTTGCCTTCTGAGGCCTCCTGCTCCTGGGGCCTCTCGGGGCCTCCTGTTGCCTTCCGAGGCCTCCTGGCGCTTCCTGTTGCCTCCTGGGGCCTCCTGTGGTTTCCTGAAGCCTTCTGGAGCTTCCTGGGGCCTCCTGGAGCCTCTTGGGACATCCTGTGGCCTCTTGAGTCTTTCTGTGGCCTCCTGATGCCTCCTGGGACCTCATGTGGTCTCCTGGGGCCTCCTGGAGCCTGTTGGAGCCTCCTGTGGCATCCTGAGAAGAATCTGCGCCCACGAGCCTGGCCACCAAAACAAGCAAACCGATCGAGACATCCTCAAAATCTGGCCCACCTGGGGGGTGAAAATGAGCGCCTCGCTCGAGACATCCTCCAAATCTGCTCCGAAAGCGAAGGATGTTGGGCCCAGAAACAAGCAAACCGCCTGAGACATCCCCACAAAATGGCCGCGAACGAGCCCGTGCAAACACCCCTGGCGGCTCCCCTTAGGGGTGCTGAAATGAGCGCCTCGCTCGAGACATCCTCCAAATCTGCTCCGAAAGCGAAGGATGTTGGGCCCAGAAACAAGCAGCAAACCGCCTGAGACATCCCCACAAAATGGCCGCGAACGAGCCCGTGCAACCACCCCTGGCGGCTCCCCTTAGGGGTGCTGAAATGAGCGCCTCGCTCGAGACATCCTCCAAATCTGCTCCGAAAGCGAAGGATGTTGGGCCCAGAAACAGGCAAACCGCCTGAGACATCCCCACAAAATGGCCGCGAACGAGCCCGTGCAACCACCCCTGGCGGCTCCCCTTAGGGGTGCTGAAATGAGCGCCTCGCTCGAGACATCCTCCAAATCTGCTCCGAAAGCGAAGGATGTTGGGCCCAGAAACAGGCAAACCGCCTGAGACATCCCCACAAAATGGCCGCGAACGAGCCCGTGCAACCACCCCTGGCGGCTCCCCTTAGGGGTGCTGAAATGAGCGCCTCGCTCGAGACATCCTCCAAATCTGTGTATGAGTAAGTCTGTGTATGAGTAAGTCTGTATATGAGTATGCCTGAGTGTGAGTAAGTCTGAGTATGAGTAGGTCTGAGTATGAGTAAGTCTGAGTATGAGTAAGTCTGTGTGTGAGCAAGTCTGAGTATGTCCGACAGGAGGGGAGGAGAAAAGAGGAGGAGAAAGGAGGAGGAGTAGGAGGAGTCCAAGTAATAATTATTCACTGCGTGGAGCTCCCCATATGTGCATCTACTCGCATGGACCTGTCCGCCGTGAATGTCTAGGCGCAAGAGCTTTCGAATATTAACGGGCTTCAGTTGTGACGGTCTGGACATCAATCTAACTGCGAATGAATTGGAGTGTGAATGAGCCTCAGTAGTACGAGCGCGTCTCTGTGCATGAGCCTGGGGCCTCCTGGGGCCTCCTGAAACCTACTGGGGCTTCCTGGGGTCTCCAGGAGCCTCTTGGGACCTCCTGGGACCTCCTAGGAAGGTTTCGTGCCCCAGGAAAGCAACAGACGTACATAAAACATTGCGGATTAGAGCCACAGGAGAAGGGCAATCTATAGGAACACGCGTAAAACACCAAGGACTCGTGCCCCAGGAGAGGCCCAATACATAGGAACATGAGTAAAACATTTAGGATTGTGTACACAGGAGAAGGACCATCTATAGAAACATACGTAGAACATCAAAGAATCGTGCTCCAGGTGAGGCCCAATCGATAGGAGCATACGTAAAACACATGGGATTGGAGCCACTCCTGTTGCCTTCTGAGGCCTCCTGCTCCTGGGGCCTCTCGGGGCCTCCTGTTGCCTTCCGAGGCCTCCTGGCGTTTCCTGTTGCCTCCTGGGGCCTCCTGTGGTTTCCTGAGGCCTTCTGGAGCTTCCTGGGGCCTCCTGGAGCCTCTTGGGACATCCTGTGGCCTCTTGAGTCTTTCTGTGGCCTCCTGATGCCTCCTGGGACCTCATGTGGTCTCCTGGGGCCTCCTGGAGCCTGTTGGAGCCTCCTGTGGCATCCTGAGAAGAATCTGCGCCCACGAGCCTGGCCACCAAAACAAGCAAACCGATCGAGACATCCTCAAAATCTGGCCCACCTGGGGGGTGAAAATGAGCGTCTCGCTCGAGACATCCTCCAAATCTGCTCCGAAAGCGAAGGATGTTGGGCCCAGAAACAAGCAAACCGCCTGAGACATCCCCACAAAATGGCCGCGAACGAGCCCGTGCAACCACCCCTGGCGGCTCCCCTTAGGGGTGCTGAAATGAGCGCCTCGCTCGAGACATCCTCCAAATCTGCTCCGAAAGCGAAGGATGTTGGGCCCAGAAACAAGCAAACCGCCTGAGACATCCCCACAAAATGGCCGCGAACGAGCCCGTGCAAACACCCCTGGCGGCTCCCCTTAGGGGTGCTGAAACCAGCGCCCCGCCTGAGACATCCTCCAAATCTGCTCCGAAAGCGAAGGATGTTGGGCCCAGAAACAAGCAAACCGCCTGAGACATCCCCACAAAATGGCCGCGAACGAGCCCGTGCAAACACCCCTGGCGGCTCCCCTTAGGGGTGCTGAAACCAGCGCCTCACAATCCGCTGGGTATGAGTAAGTCTGAGTATGATTCTGTGTATGTGTACGTCTGGGTATGAGTAAGTCTGAGTATGACTAATACTGTGTATGAGTAAGTCTGGGTATGAGTGAGTCTGTGTATGAGTACGTCTGGGTGTGAGCAAGTCTGTGTATGAGTAAGTCTGTGTATGAGTATGTCTGAGTGTGAGTAAGTCTGAGTATGAGTAGGGGGCAAGAGGAGGAAGGAGGAGGAGTAGGAGGCGTCCAAGTAATTATTCACTGCGTGGAGCTCCCCATATGTGCATCTACTCGCATGGACCTGTCCGCCGTGAATGTCTAGGCGCAAGAGCTTTCGAATATTAACGGGCTTCAGTTGTGACGGTCTGGACATCAATCTAACTGCGAATGAATTGGAGTGTGAATGAGCCTCAGTAGTACGAGCGCGTCTCTGTGCATGAGCCTGGGGCCTCCTGGGGCCTCCTGAAACCTACTGGGGCTTCCTGGGGTCTCCAGGAGCCTCTTGGGACCTCCTGGGACCTCCTAGGAAGGTTTCGTGCCCCAGGAGAGGCGCAATCTATAGCAACAGACGTACATAAAACATTGCGGATTAGAGCCACAGGAGAAGGGCAATCTATAGGAACACGCGTAAAACACCAAGGACTCGTGCCCCAGGAGAGGCCCAATACATAGGAACATGAGTAAAACATTTAGGATTGTGTACACAGGAGAAGGACCATCTATAGAAACATACGTAGAACATCAAAGAATCGTGCTCCAGGTGAGGCCCAATCGATAGGAGCATACGTAAAACACATGGGATTGGAGCCACTCCTGTTGCCTTCTGAGGCCTCCTGCTCCTGGGGCCTCTCGGGGCCTCCTGTTGCCTTCCGAGGCCTCCTGGCGCTTCCTGTTGCCTCCTGGGGCCTCCTGTGGTTTCCTGAGGCCTTCTGGAGCTTCCTGGGGCCTCCTGGAGCCTCTTGGGACATCCTGTGGCCTCTTGAGTCTTTCTGTGGCCTCCTGATGCCTCCTGGGACCTCATGTGGTCTCCTGGGGCCTCCTG